ACACGACGCTCTTCCGATCTCCCCAAAACCCCAAAACCCCATCATAATCTATCAATTATTATAAAGAGACTATTTATATAAATCGAATTAATTTAATAATTTTAAATAGGTATTTCTGAAGTTGAATTTAAATCATAGATGTAAGCACAGTAGTTATACAATGAGTTAAAGCGAGTGAGAGTCGAACTAGACAAATCTAGGGAAGAAAAAGAGGATCTTAGGGAAGAGATGAGGGAGATGACTCAAATGTACCTAAAGATTAAGCAAGAAAGAGACAAATACAGGCTATAAATGGACTAAGTTAAGAAAGATTATGAAAATATGGAGAAAATCATCAAAGATAATGTCGACAGGGCAATCAAAAACAAGGAGAAATAGTTCATTGACCTCAATTAGAAACTAAAGGAGCAATAAGAGAGGATATCACAGCTTGAAAACTATAAAAAATGCTACTCAGACACAATAAATTACCTAGAAAGTCAAGTAAGTTCTCTAAGAGAGGAGATTTAACATGAAAAAAGCAAAAACCATTAACTTGAGGAGGAGCTCAAGGGAAAGGAAAATATGTTCGAATAAGTTAATTCTGGCTCTCTATATGATGAGAAGATTCGTTTGAAATAACTTAGATTTGATGATGATGAATTGCTGAGGAAATATAACGGAAATCAAATTTTAGAAGAGACAAACTTTGATGATGGGGTTAGGGAAAGCTTTGCAGGGCATCATGGCCCTGAGAAGGAAGTTAGGACAACAGAGGGAGATGATTGTTCTTACGATGAACCTACTAATTGTAGATTGAGGGAAGATACCAACGCAAGCATGATGTTTGGCTTAAATCAAAACTCTACCCCAGTTATGTTGAACCAAATAGCCATACAGGTCAAGTAAGGTGACAGTGCAAAAAAAGTCAACAATAAAGCAACTCCAGCAAAGGTCGCTCCGTTTGACAAATGAATATATCACTACTTTAACTGCTTATATGATTATTATGATTGCTTGAGTTTGTTTAATAATTGTGGGCTTACTTAAATTATAATATAATTAGATTTACATCTTATCTTTTAGCGGGTAAACCTACTAACTAATAGAATGGATTCCAAAAAATTAAAGTTTGAGCACCCTTAAATTTAAGAAGAAACGAAAACAGCCTAAAGACAGCCAAAAGAACTCACTGACTTTATGCTATCCTAAGACTCAATAAAGTAGATTGAAGAGGCAGCAGACCAAGAAACTAAGGAAGAGAGATAGAAACTAGATGCTATCGAACAGAAAAAGAGGGACTTCGCCAAAGTCCTGAGATAGAAACAAGATATGGAGTTTAAGCAGAAATAAGACCTGACAAAGCAAGATAGGCTAAAGTATTTACTAAAGTAAAGTGAAATTTTCACTCACTTTATCCTCCAAGCAAACAAAAAATCTGCTGGAAATTAAAATGATGATCATGCTGATCAGTTCAAGCAAAAACTCAACCAGGGCTTCAGGAGAGGAGACTTTGGAGGCAAAACTTCGGTATCAAAGAGACACTAGAAGAAGGTATCGAAAAATGTTGACGACGAGGCTGAGGTCGCAAGTGACCAGGTTTTGACAAGACTTGAGACTTAACCTTCAATTCTGAAAGGTGGATAACTTAGAGACTATTAATTAGATGGACTTAATTGGTTAATAGGGTTATATGAGACTGGAATAAATGGCATCCTTGCCGATGAGATGGTATCTAACCTTAATCTTAATATGTATATAGGGGCTGGGAAAAACAATTTAGACAATTTCTTTAGTTGCATTTTTGAGAGAATTTAAGCAGGTAAAAGGATATCATTTAGTCATCGTACCTAAATCCACAGTTCCTAATTGGATGAATGAGTTCAAGAAGTGGTGTCCAGAGGTTCGAGTCATCAATCTGATAGCTAGGAAAGAGTAAAGGGAAGAAATTCTGAAAACATAGCTCTTGCCAGGCAAATTTGATGTTGTTGTGACAACCTTCGAAGGTTGCAGAATTTGCCTTTCAAACCTTTTAAAATTCAAATGGGAATATTTAATGATTGATGAGGCCCACAAGATTAAGAATGAGGAGAGTTAAATATCGTAGAAACTTAGATAACTAGATTCTAGGTACAGGCTGTTACTTACTGGTACTCCATTATAAAATAATCTTCATGAATTATGGAGTCTTTTGAATTTTTTGCTTCCAGAAGTTTTTACATCAGCCGAGGATTTCGACGAATGGTTTGATCTCAGCAAAAATAATGAAAACATGACTGACAAAGAAAAGGAAGAGAGAAATACCGAGATAGTCCAACAGCTTCATAAAATTCTCAGACCATTCCTGCTCAGAAGAATAAAGAAAGAGGTGGAGAAGAATTTACCGCCTAAAGTAGAAATTCATGTCAATGTAGGAATCACAGAGAATTAAAAGCACATCTACAGACAACTTCTGAAGAAATCAACCATTGAAAAAGGTACATCTGTCAGTTTTTATAAGAATATTATCGTCTAACTTAGAAAGATTTGCGACCATCCATATTTATTCGATGGCTAAGAACCCCCTGGAGCCGAAGAATTTGGAGAGCATATAATTACTTCTTCTGGGAAGATGATTTTTGTGGATAAATTACTCAAAAAGGTTAAAGAAGAAAACTCATAAGTACTTATTTTTTCAGGATTTACTTCAATGCTTGACATTCTAGAAGATTACTGTCTGTTTAGAGAATATAAGTATTGCAGACTAGATGGAAATACCGAGTTAGATGATAGAGAGAAGTTTATAGAGGATTTCACAAGCCCTAATTCTGATAAATTCATTTTCTTAATCTCAACAAGGGCTGGAGGACTTGGTCTAAACTTAATGACTGCAAATATTGTCATACTTTATGATAGTGATTGGAATCCTCAAATTGATCTATAGGCTATGGATAGAGCTCATAGAATCGGTTAAAAGAAGATTGTCCAGGTATTTAGGTTAGTTACTTAAAATACAATGGAGGAAAAAATGATTGAAAAGCAAACTATGAAACTTAAGCTTGACTCTCTAATTATTTAAAAAGGAAGAGTAGCTCCTAAGCATTCTGGATTTTAAAAGGATGAACTATAAGACATGGTAAATTATGGAGCTGATGAAATATTTAAAGTTGGATCTGATGTCTAAGAAGAGGACATAGAAGAATTGATCAAGAAAGGACAAGAAAAAGCAATGGGTATGCAAAAATTAGCAGAAGAGCAAGTTAAGAATAAATTTGACATGCTAGATTTTTCAATGAATACTATGAATATGTATTAGTTTGAGGATGTAGACTATCTTTAAGAGAAAAGAAAGGAGTAATAGTAAACCCTTTAAAAGCATATTGTTAATATGCTTAATGATGAAGTAAGAGGCGGAAGAAGAGAAAAGAAAATGGCTTCTATGAATTTGAATGAGAGTAAGTTGTTCCCAAAATTCTTCTAAGGTGGAGCGATTGGGGTTTCTAATGAAACTAAGAAAAAGAAACTCACAAAGGTAAGATTAAGATATAAATTCTAATAAAAGATATATAGGTAACTGACTTCAGATTTTTTCCAAACCCTGAGAGATTAAAGTATCTCTTAGAAAAAGAACTGAATGCTAAGTATACAGGATATCTATAGGGAATAGAATAAGTTATTTTCACTGAAGAGGAAAGAAAGGAAAAAGAAGCATTATGGGATGAGGGGTTCATAGAATGGGATAGACGTGACTATCAGAGATTCTGCTAAGCTTTGGAAATATATGCAAAAGATGATTTCCCATCAATATCTTAGCATATTGTAACTAAGGCTCCTGAACAAGTAGAAAGATATTCCAAGGTGTTTTTCGCCAAGATTGATACTTTGGCGGATTCGGAAAAGATCAAGAAAAATATGGAGAAAGCAGAGAAAATGTTATCATTCAAAAGCAAAGCTCCCTAGATTATAAAGACCAAAGTCATGGCTTATGAGAGCCCTCTAGATGAGATGGTAATTTACGCAACTTAGAAGTCAAAATATTTCTCAAAAGAAAGTGATATTATCCTAATTTGCTTGACTAATCAATACGGTTATGGCAAATGGAGAGAGATCAAGAAGGCAATAAGAAGAGATCCAAGATGCAGATTTGATCACCTATTCCTTTCTAGGAATGAGTAAGAGCTATAGAGACGTGTAGATATATTAGTAAAAGCTCTTGAAAAAGAAGAGGAAGTTAATAAAAAGAAGAATGAGATGATTGTAGGTATTGATCATGATATCCCTATGGAAGATTAGGACTTAGGAGAAGATGCTGACAAGATGGATCAATCTGAAGAGAGTAAAGTTGCTAGCATCCCAAGATAAAAGAAATAACCAGTAAAGAAAAATAGTATGAGGAGAGAGCAGACAATAAGTGATGAAAGTGAGGCTGAGGATGAATCGATAGGACAGCGCTAATATGACGAGGAAGCTAAATATAGTCATTTAAGGTAGGATGCAGAGTTGAATATTGGTGGTGGGAAAATATTGAGAAGCGATGATGAGGATGATTTGAAGCAGAGAAGTGATGTAAAGAAGAAGAAGGTGAAAGGACCTAAAATGAAGAATACTTCCAAAGATTCCAAGGATAACCTTAAACAAACCAAATTACCTTTTGGAAATCCTAAAAATTGTAACTTTAATGATTTATAATTTATTTAGCCCTCGCTGGTATGAAAAGAAGCTAGCCAGATGATAGTGCAGATCAATCGGAGAATGCAAAATTAGAGCAATAGTACATGGATGATAATTAACTTTGATTATCGAAAATTAAAGCCAATAATCTAACTGAGGAATGTGAAGAAAAGTGAATTATCCAAATTCTAATTTATTTTAATACCTTCAATCGAATCTTGTCAAGGCACTTCATGGGGTTTTGGGGTTTTGGGGTTTTGGGG